CAGCGCAAGCTAGTTTAGTTTTGTAGGGCAGGGAGATCACTCACCAATTACCATCATGGGCAAAACAGACTCAACTTGGGGAAAAATAATTTAATCTGTTGCCAATTAAAAATAGAGTAGGATGGTGAGAAACAAAGACAAAACTGAAAACACCTCCCCCCACTTCTTCCCAGACTCAACTTCACTCCTTTGTTCCCGACTCTTCTACCTCCTGCCCCCACGAGCAGTGCAGGGAGGGTGGTAGGGAATGGGGGGTTGCGGTCAGTTCGTAACAGTTCGTCTCTGCCGCTCCTTCCTCACACTTTTCCCTTGCTCCAGCGTGGATCCTTTCCACAGGGTATAGTCCTTCAGCAACAGACTGCTCCATCATGGGTTCCCCACGGGCTGGTTGTCCTGCTCTGGCGTTGTTTTCTCAGCATTTACCACCCTTAAATATGTTTTTGCAGAGGCGCTGTAAAGTCATCTGAGTGGTTCAGTATTGGTGCGCAGTCAGTCCATTTTGTCTGTTGCTGAGCTGTCTGGAACTGGCTATGACCAGCACAGGGCAGTCCATGACCTCCTCCTACACAGGTCATCCCTGCAGCCTGCCCCTGCTACCAAAACCTTGCCAATTATGCCCAATACATCTCTCCAACCCTTCCCCTATCCGCTAACCCCTCCAATCCCAACCCTCACCCCAACCCCAAATCCTCCAAGCCCACCCTTACCCTACCCACCAACCCCTAGCCTAACCTCCAAGTCCTTTAACCCCCAAACATACCCCAACTGCCAACCCATCCAAGCCCAAAACTTCCACTAATAGCCAACCTCAACTCTTCCTCTACCCACCAACCTCTTCCAAGCCCTGACACATCCCCTAACTGCCAACCCTTCCCCTACCCATGAAGGACTTCAAAGCCCAACCCATCTAAACTCATCAACCCCTCCAAGCCCAACTCTTACCTTGCCAGCAAATCCCTCAAGCCCAACTCTTACTCTGCCTGACAACCCCTCCAAATCCAAACCCTCAAAGCCAACCCTTATCCTGTCTACCCATCCCTCCAATCCCAACCCCTACCCTATACACCAAGCCCTCCAAGCTCAACTCATATCCAGACAGTTAAGCCCTCAAAGACCTGCCCTTAAACCTAGCTGCTCGCCCCTCTAAGCTCAACCCCTCCAGGCCCATCCCTTAACCCTAAGTACCAAGCACTCTAAGCCCAAACCTTACCCTATCCACCAACCCCCTCTCAGCCCAACCTCTAGTCTAAACCCCAACTCCTCTAACTGCCAACATCTCTAACCACCAACCCTTGTAAGCCCAAGGCCTAGCCAACCCCTCCAACTCCAACTTTTACACTTCCTGCCAATTCCTCCAAGCCCAACCCATACACCTAGCCTAAAATCCAACCACTCTAACCCCAACTGAAAGGAGCTCAAACCCAACCCCCAGCCTAATGCCCAACCCCTCTAAACACAAGGCCTAGTCTAACCACCAAACTTGCTAACACCAACGCTCTACCCTAACCGCACCCCTTTAACCAAAACACTTACCCTAACTGCCAACCCCTCTGAGCCCAACCCTCAGCCTGACCCCCCAACTCCTTAAACTCCAACACTTTACCCAACCCAAATGCCAACCCCTCTTACCCTGACCCTTCCCCTAACCGCCAAACCTTCCAAGCCCAATGCTTCCAAGCCCCGCTGCCAACACCTCCAAGCTCAACCCTTACCCTGCTCACCAACCTCTCCAAGCCTAACCCTTACCCTGTCTGCCAACCCCTCAGTGCCCAACCCTTACCCTGCCTGTCAACCTGTCGAAGCCCAACACTTTCCCTAACCCCAAATACTCCAAGCCCAACCTTTTCCATGCCCGCCAACTCCTTCAACCCCACCCCTTCCAAGTACAGCCCTTATCCTATCCACCAACCCCTGCCCGCCAAACCCTCCAAGCCCAAACCCAAATAGCCCAACCCTTACCCTAACCCCAAATCTTCCAAGCCCAACCCTTACTCTTCCCACCAACCCCTCCAAGCCCATCCCTCCCAAGTCCATTAACCATTCCACACCCAACCCCTCAAAGCATGCCAAACCTCTCCAAGACCATCCCCCTCCAAGTCCGATCCGTACTCTACCCAATCCCTCCAGCTCCAACCCTTCTCCTACCCACCCACCCCTCCAAGCCCAATCCTTTCCCTGCTCACCAACCCCAACTCATAACCTACCAGCAACCCCTCTAAGACCAATCCTTACCCTACCCACTAACTCTTCCAAGCCCAACCCATACCCTACCTGATAACCACTCCAAACCCAACCCTTACCCTGCACACCAACTCCTCCAAGCCAAAACCCTACCCTACCAGCCCATCCCTCTCATGCCCAACCCTTATCTTCCCTGCCAGCCCTTGCCCACTCCAACACAATCTTGCAGTCAAATTCTCTTGAGCGCCTACAATGCCTTTTGCAGTAAATTCTTGTCACACTCCGACCCAAGCTCTGGGCTTCCCTACA